ATACGATGTCGCTAAATATTAAGTTGCTGATTTGACTATTGTAGTACTGAGGGAGGGGTGAACACCGTGACGTCAGTTGTTACTGTAATGGCGGCACGTGGACAGAGTCGTATTGGAGAGGGGGTTTTGCGACAAAGGCATTCGAATTTGGGACGCGGAACAGTTCGCATCTCCAAAACGGAACTGTCGGTTTACCTCTTCTTTGGTTTCATTTATCGGAGTTGTAATCATTACGAATAAAGTGAAGTGGACATTTTTATTCTACACTGCGAAATGAACCCTGCATCACCCAATCAAGACGGAGACGGTATTACCGCTCAGTCGTCGCTCGCTCCGACATCAGAAGCGGGATGTAGCCAAAACGCCCCACGTGCTGCAAATAAATGTGAGAGTGACGAAAAGTTATTGTTGTTATTGGAGCAGCAAAATAGAAACTTTTTGGCTATGCTAGAGGCCGTGAAGCAGTCGCGAACGCCGAACGACCTCCACCTTCCTGATTTTGATCCAGACCGACGTGATGTGGACGCACGTGCTTGGATTATAACAGCGGACACTTGCATTACTGATGGTTATCAACACGGAGCCCCATTAATGATTGCGTTAAGTCGTGCAATGAAAGGGGACGCATCGACGTGGCTGTCTACTGTGTCGTTTCCAGGGATGACCTGGGAAAATTTTAAGGAGCTTTTCACTGCAAGGTACGCATGCCCTGAGACTGTGGCCTCTTACCTTATAAATATGGCAGGAAGCAGACCAAAAGAAAATGAATGTCTTGCTACATATGGTGCAGCCATGATGACTTCTATTATGTCAAGGTGGAAGGGCTTGACGACAGAACAGATCGCGGTAGCTACAGTTTTGGCGCATATTTCACAATTCGAGCCTCGTATTCAGCGATTGTCCTTTACCACTGATATCGATAATAGAAAACGACTACAACAAGAGCTTACAGCCGTGTCGTTTCTAAAGAGAAAAGCCCCACTCAGCAGTGACGCCACAGACTTTAAGAAAATTCGCCCAGCTACAAACCACACGAGCATAAAGTGCTTTCACTGTGGGAAACTAGGCCATAAGTCAACTCAGTGTTTCTCGAAGAGAAATTTGAAGACAAATGGAGACAAAGACAGAAGCCAAACTTACTTCAACAACCGTAAGAAGTCTGCTGCGGAACAACTCCCCATTACTTGTTACTCTTGTCATGGACAAGGACACTATGCATCCAGCTGCCCGAAGCAGAGGAGCAAGGACCTCGACCTCGACTTGGCGACCTAGTTAACACGTACGTGGTGGTTTATATGGACGATGTTCTTATAGTAGCGAGTACGGTACAGGAAGCCCTTGAGCGTTTAATAGTCGTACTTAAAGTTCATACAGACCAAGGGTTTTCTTTAAACATTAAAAAATGTGTCTTCTTAAAACAAAAAGTTGAATACCTTGGCTTCGAGGTATGTCAGGGGGAGATTCGTCCAAACCCGCGTAAGATTGAAGCTCTTACGGCTCTGTCACCACCAGAGACAGTAACACAGCTTCGTCAATTTATTGGGTTGGCCTCCTATTTTCGACAATTTGTGGCGGGATTCTCACAGACAATGGCACCATTGTACGCATTGACCGCAAGCTCTAATTGTAAGTTAAATTGGAGGTCGGAGCATGAGACAGTAAGACAACAAATAATCTCCAAACTAACTCGAGAGCCGGTTCTTATGATCTATGATCCAGATCTACCGACTGAGTTGCATACAGATGCAAGTGCGGTTGGATACGGCGCGGTGCTCATGCAGAGAAAAGGAGGTAAGCTTCATGCAGTTGCTTATTTTAGTAAGCGTACTACAGTCGCAGAGTCTAAATATCATTCATACGAATTGGAGACTCTAGCTGTTGTAAACGCGGTTAAGCATTTCCGCCATTATCTACATGGCCGTAAGTTTACTGTCATAACCGACTGCAACTCCCTTCAGTCAACTCGCAAAAAGCTGGATTTGACGCCTCGGGTCCACAGATGGTGGGCATTTCTCCAGGGATTTGACTTTGATGTGGTACACGTCGATGGTAAGCGTATGGCACATGCGGACTTCTTTTCACGAAACCCTCTTCCAGTTAAAGAAGCGCATACGCATCAGCGACAGGTACAATCAAAGCAAATTAATATTACTGAGCTGACTAGTAATTGGCTGTTAGCAGAACAACAGCGTGACGAAGAAATTGGCAAGTTGGTGAGTGACCTTAAAGATAAGAAGTTGCCTGATGATATTGCAAAGACTTACGAGTGGCGATCGGGCGTCTTGTATCGTAAAATACAGCGTAAAGGGAAGTCCCGTTTTTTACCCATCATACCCCGGTCCTTGAAGTGGTCAGTTATTAATGGTGTGCATGAGGGGTTGATGCATTTGGGATGGGAAAAGACCTTAGAGAAAGTTTACGAGCTTTATTGGTTTGATAAAATGACCAAATATGTGAAGAAGTTTGTTGACAATTGCATCACATGCAAAATTTCAAAGTCACACTCTGGCAAAATCCAAGCCGAGCTACATCCCATTCCAAAGGTAGCGATCCCTTGGCATACGTTACATATGGATGCCACTGGAAAGCTTAGTGGGAAAAGTGACAATAAGGAGTATGTTTTTGTTGTTATCGATGCTTTTACTAAGTTTGTCTTACTCCACCATACCTTACACATCGATGCGGCTAGTAGTATAAAAGCGGTTAAAGGTAGCATCTCCTTGTTTGGTGCCCCAACACGAATTATCGCGGATCAGGGCAGATGCTTCTCTAGCAAAGATTTTAAGGAGTATTGCGATTCTGCAAACATTAAACTACACCTAATTGCAACAGGGAGTTCTCGGGCAAACGGGCAGGTCGAACGTACAATGAGCACTTTAAAAGCCATGCTTACTGCCGCCGAAACTAGTAAACGGTCGTGGCAGGAAGCTTTGCCGGATGTGCAACTAGCATTAAATTGTTCACAACATAGGGTCACAGGATCAAGTCCTCTAGAGTTGCTCATAGGCAAAGTTGCTAGGCCTGTTGATATTTTGTTAGCTAGTGATATAGAGCCCGAAGTCGATCTCAACGCCGTACGTGATCAAGCGGTAGAAAATATGAATAAGAGCGCCCAGTACGATAAGACACAGTTTGACAGAACTAAGGCCAAGCTCAATAAGTTCTCTATAGGCGATTATGTTTTGCTAAAAAATGAGGAAAGAAATCAAACCAAGTTAGATCCCAAGTATAAAGGCCCCTTCAGAGTAATAGAGGTATTAGAAAGTGACCGTTACGTACTACAAGGTTTAAATTCAAAGAGAACATACAAATATGCCCATGATAGACTTCGGAGGATGCCTGGACCGACAGACTATGACGATCATGACACTGACGATGACTGTGCTGTGCCGTCAACTAGCTCTTGTTAAAGATTGTAAATTAGAGATAAGTTATACTGTCGGATGTCGGGATGGTTGTCCAAGGCATGTTCGGACACCAGCACGGCTATCCATGTGTTATCGGATACTGGAAGGAGGTTGTCCATGACGTGTTCGGACACCAACCCAGTTATCCTGGTATAAAAGCTTTTTGTGAGGTTGTCCATGTCATGTTCGGACGCCGGATTTATTGCCCGTGTGAAAAATTAATCGAATAAGATTAATTAAGATTATTGTTGATAATTCTAGACCATAGTTTGTCGTTACAATTTGGCTTCATAAAAGGAAATTAGTTGTTTTATCTTTGTAATAAAAGAATTAAGGCCATTCTGGGATATTTTTATTTAGGCCAGGCTGGCCGAGGGGAAACTTTGTTGACTGCAGTTTTTTTTATATTGCAGATATACACGAGGACGTGTAACTTGTCAGGCTGGCCGTGTCGCAAATACGATGTCGCTAAATATTAAGTTGCTGATTTGACTATTGTAGTACTGAGGGAGGGGTGAACACCGTGACGTCAGTTGTTACTGTAATGGCGGCACGTGGACAGAGTCGTATTGGAGAGGGGGTTTTGCGACAAAGGCATTCGAATTTGGGACGCGGAACAGTTCGCATCTCCAAAACGGAACTGTCGGTTTACCTCTTCTTTGGTTTCATTTATCGGAGTTGTAATCATTACGAATAAAGTGAAGTAATAATCCACGTGGACATTTTTATTCTACACTGCGAAATGAACC